GCATGTACTGTCAGGGCTCAAGCCAATGGAGAATTCTTTTCTACTAGGCAATGGTATATATGACTAGTGATTTATATCCTATTGCACAGATCAAATCACATGGCATGGGAAGTACGTTACTGGCGGTGGAAGGCACTGGCCTTCATATGGCAAAGGGGATATATGCATGCCTTGTGTGAAGAGCACACCTTTGGGAACAATAATATCAGCCACCACGTGTGTTAACAAGCTAAAAGAGAAGGAAGCATCATTCTTCAAGTCGAGACTATTCTCTCCCTAGCCGCCATTCCCAAGCCATTCACAGCTTATATAATATAAAGAATATAAAGGGAATATAAAGGGAAGTTATTACTCCCTTGGTTTAATTAGGTAAATCTTTAAGTTGAACTCTAAAACACAGGATAAATAGATATGGAAAGTACTGCGGTGGTCCTGAAAATAGACCTTGGGCTTGTGGTTTGCCTGCCGTGTATCAGATGTCTAGATTCAATTACATAGAAAGAATGAAGTCTGCATGTTAAAAAGATGACTAAAGAAAAAAAGTGAACCAGGTTGTATTAAGAAAGTGTAACTATGCCTCAACTTATCTGCTCTGAAAGAAAATCATGAATAATTCTAATAAATTTCTCCAAACACAGCCAACTATGTCTGTACTCACAAGCCATGATTGTGAGTATGTGTATACACACACACACACACACACACACACACACACATATATGGAGAGAGACAGAAAATAATATATATCATTTTCACTAAAAGTTAATATAATACAAACTATTACTCTTAATTTTTTTTATCAAAACTTGTTGTATATGACAAAGATAACTTACTGTGACCTCATCAACAGAATCTATTGAAAAATTGTCAGGTTTGATCACTCTTCTTCTGTTCATAAAAGAAAACTGGATCCTAAATTCCACAGAGACATTTTTAAGCCTTAGCTATAGATAAAGAGCCTTCTGAAGGTAGATTCCAGTGACAAAATTCAGTAGAAAGCATACTAGTGCCTTATTTAAATGCCTCAATAAAACATCTTTCCAGTTTGCTATGTAGAGAAGTTCAGACCCTTGTAAAGCTAAGACCCCATAGAGAAAGTCAACAAAGAGAAGGATTAATGTGTGTCTAAACGAGTTCCTTCTGCTTTTGCTAAGGTATCCTAAAGCCTGGAAAGTCTTCCTAACAAAGTAAGCAGCTCATCTTTTGGGAACACCAATGAAGCAGGCATCTCCCAGTTTTTCTTCCTTCCATCTATTTACACATCTCTAGACAGGTCTCCTATTTTGTACCAGGGCTGGTCTCTGTGAACATAGGATGAACCATAAGAAATGGATGCATTTCCAAGAGAACCAATAACCTCTCTGGCTTACACTTTTGTATCTCTCCTGGATCATTCTTTTTATGACATCCAGTTCCTAGGTTGTGAGAGGCACAGAACTGAGAGTCGGTGGACAGCAGCCAACAGAGAGGCAATGTCTCTGGTGCCACAATCCGTGAAGAACTGAGAACTGCTGATGGCCATGTGAGATGCTCCTGGGTTGAGCCTTCAGAGGGGAATGTTGCTCTAATTTCAACAATGACTGAAAGCAAGTGAGACAGTGAGCTGAAACAATTCAACTAGGCCACTCTCACCCCCAAAGTACATGAAATAAGACCAGCTGGTTGGTTTCAAGTTGCTAAGGTGATTTTCATAATGATGGACGCATAATATGTCTGTCCTATGTTGGACCTTAGTCTTCAAAGGATGTCAAAAAAAAAAGATAAACATTTTCCTTATTCTTGACTAAGCACTAAATTATCATCAACATTTTATATAAGTCTTCAAATTTTGATGAATACCAACAGTAGCCAGGTGAGTCTATAAATATGCACATTAAAACACCAGGATCAATGCATAGCAATATAAAATTTCACTGTGCTCAACCTCTGCTTTTAATAATATAATTCATTTTTACAATTTATAATCACTGATGAGTAGTGTCAGATGCTATGGTAAGATAGTGGCCCTACTATTTCTATCAGATAAAAAAAAATAGGCAATGAACTTCTCCACTTTTTCAATAAATACAACAGAGAATATCTAGCACACAGGACACATGGGACTTTTAGAATTGTTTCAGTATGAGCACACCAATACAGTTTTTTTTTAATTGAGATTATACATTATTATAGCCTTTCTTCTTTCTTTATGCTCCCCAACAAATTCTCCATATACTCTTCCTTGCTCTCTTTCAAATTCTTGGCCTTTTCTTTAATTGTTACTAAATTCATCTAGGTAGATACCTATACATTCTTAAATGTAAGTCTATATAATGTTACTTGTATGTGTCTTCTCAGGGATAACCATTTGGTATTAGATAACTGACAGGTGTATGCCTCCCTGGGAAAGACTGTTTCTCCTGCTCTTAGCATTCTGTAGTTACCTGTAGTTCTTTGCTCAGAGTTGAGGCCTCGCAGGCTTTCCCCTGCCCACTTAGGCATGTCTGCTGGTGTTATGCTTCTAAGAGGCAGAAGGACAGGGAGCTTGCTGTGGAATTGTGTCTCCCAGTAATGTCTCACCAATATGGCTGCCTAAATATGAGATGAACCAATAAGCTTTTAAAGCAAAAGAAAAAAGAAAGAAAGAGAGAAAGAAAGAAAGAAAGAAAGAACTTTATTAAGTTGTATTATTCAACACTATAAATACACTTTATTGAGCAATTGAGAGGGTTATGCACATGTGGTTATGAAGACAGAAGGAGATTTGGGGAAAGGAAAAGGTGGTGTTGAGGAAACAGCTGAGAATGAGTGTGTGTGGAAATGTATAAAGAAACCTGTAACTTCACTAAAAATAACCTTAAATTGAAAAAAAAACCACTTTGAAATTTTAGTGTGAAAAAAAGATAAATATTTTAGCTGCTATTAAAACATCTACAATTCCAGCATGACCTTGAAAACACCAATGTTTACATTATTAAAATTGAGATTCAAACTATGTATATAGTCCAAAATGGTATTAACATATGGACCCTTCTGCTATGTTGATGAAATTAATTGGCCAGAAGACAGATTTTATCAAACTATTTGTTAGTAATATTAAAACAAATCTATGATGATTTTATATTATACATCTCAAAGAGTACACTTGCCATCTTTGAACACAGATCTATTATTAACAGGAGAAGCTGATGATTTATTTAATCTGTTTTTAACTTTTTATTAGTTGTTCGTGAATTTCACATTATCCATCCCAATCCCACTCATCTCCCCCTCCCCTTATACCCTTCCTCTTCCTTTGCAGCCTCATCACAAAAAAAAAAAACCCTCATTGTGGAAAATGTAGTGTGTCACAGTGTGTCCCACAGTGTACTCTTTGCTTGCAAATGTTCATTACAATGACTCATTGGTCCGGTACAAGGCCTCTGGCTTCTGCTACTCTATCAATATTAGAACCTCACTGGGACTCTTCTCAGATATCCTGTTGTTGCCCTGTGTCATGGAGTCCCTGTAGTTTTCAATCTGTAAGGCCAACCCCTTCATATCCTTCAGAAGTTTATCACTTCCATAGATGCTGAGGTGGGTCAATTTAATACCCTGGATCTGGGTCTGAGAGGTATCTAAGCTGGTCAACTCTCCGGATCTCCTGCTCTTGGAGTATGGCCAGCTCAACAACACAAAAAACCAGGATCAGCTCTAGCCTACTCCTCAGGAAACACGCAGATGCAGGGCCTGCTCTCTTGATTGTTACAGTGAGTGAGGGACGGGGCCAGTTCTCCCACTCTTGTGACCCCAGTACCAGCTCTCCCACCTCCCATAGGTGTCAAGGGGACAGAGGAGGGCATCTCTCCCTCACCCACACGGCCACACATGGCAAACAAGTTGAGAGGCCAGCTTTCCCACACCCTCAGGGCTGGCTCACCATGTGGCCATCAGGGTACAGCTCTATTGTGCTGTCCAGATGAGTCACAGGGCCTGCTGAGTGCTGCAGCAGGTGAGGGACAGGGACGGCTCTCATGCCTTCAGGGACACTCAACTGTGCTGCCCAGGTGAGGTTCAGGGTCTGCTCTCCCAAGTACTGCAGCTGGTGGGGAGCAGGGATGGCTCTCCTGCCTGCTGTATGTGTTAAGGTGCAAGAGGAGGGTGCGTCTCTCCCTTGCCCATGCCACCACACAGCATACAAGTGTTGGGGCCAGCGCTACTACTCTCACACTCTCAGGGCTGGTTCACTCAGGCCCTCACCGCCGGGGTCAGTTCTACTGTGCTCCCTGGGCTAGAGTCAGGCTCTTCTCTCTGGAGTACTGCAGCTGCCTAAGGGTGGGAGTCAACTCTCCTGCTCTCATGAGCTAGCTCTCTAAGGATTCCCAGGAGAGGAGTGGGGTCAGTTCTGTGCAGCTCTCAGACATTAACATGTCCCCAGGAGGCAGCCCAGACCAGGAATGTGTGTCTGGCCTTTAGTGGTAACTGACTCCTGATCCTGCAGGGCTATGGACCTATATGTCGTCCTCAGTGGCAGCACAGGCCAGGATTCTACCATAATGCCAGATTGCATCACTGGCTCCTCTCATCAGGCTGCTCCTCACTACCCTTGAGTCTCCAGTCCTGCCTCTCTTCACTGTGCCCACATCCTTCAGTTTCTCTTTCTCCACCACTCACTCACTCCTCTTAGTGGCACCTGGGGTCTCTGAGTGTCTGGGTTTGTCTCAGAAGTGGTCTCAGGAGGGCTATCCCTTCCTGTGCATTATGGCACCAGGGAGGGGTCATCTTGGGCCTGATCTGCTCACCTTGACCTGTGCAGCATTGGGCCAATAGTCATCTCAGACTTGCTCCCTGTCTAGGTCCCTGATCTGGGCCCTAGTCTGGTCCCAGCTGAATGATTCCAGGTGAGGACAGTCTGTCTTGGACTCACTTCCTGCCCTGGGAGCCATGAGGGCCTGTGCAGTGCTGGACTGGTGGTTCTCTCAGGCAGTCTCCCTATCCAGGCACTCTAGAGCCAGACTGCTGTTGTCACAGGCCTGCTTTTATTGGGGAATGTACTATTCATTCAGATGTTCACAGATCAGAACACTGAGCATAGACATAGCTTCTCTCCCCTCTGCCACCTACTGAAGCATGCATGATACAGTAGCTATACCTTCAATGTCTCTAGGGTCATGGGAAGCTGATGATTTTTAAATTTATGACTAAATTACTCATGGCTCTATTGTTAGGAAATACCAACAGATTTCCAGCCATCTGTTCTACTGTAGAATCCCAAGTTTTTCTAACATTCGCTGTGGTTCTTCTGCAGTGATCTAGTACATGACTGGTAACCCATTCCACTATTCTCTGTCGTTCTCTCATCTCAGTTCCTACAACATTTACTACAGTCTGCGAATATATGACGTTCGCATTCCCCCCAAACCCCACATGCTAAAACCTAAGCCTCTGTGTGATCGTATGTGAAAGCCGGGGGTGATTTCGTTATGAAGGTGTTTACTTCACAAATGAGATTGGTATCATAAAGAGTCCTGAACAAGCTCACCCCCCTCTCTGTTCGTGTGATGGCTGATGTAGCAAGAAGCTGTCCATCGGCAGACCCGGAAAGCACATTGTGACCATGCACAGACCCTACTGTCACTGTGTTCAGATTCTCCATTCCCAAAGTGATGAGAAAAACGTTTCTGTTCTTCATAGCTATCAAGCTTGTGGTACCCTGAGCAGATGGAGACTGTAAGGCTTAAAATAATGATGGCAAAGGTGACTGTAAAGATGCTGATGACAGTAACGATGAGAGCTTCACATATTGAATCATTAGTACTTAGTTCTTGTTGTCTATGCCCTGGGCAGCCCACTGCCCAATCCTGTCTGCCCTTGGGGGTTGGAAATGAGGTGGCACACAGACTCCAGGAGCAGGTGAGATGCGTCTCAGCAAGCTCAGCTGAACGCTGCTGCAAGCTCCTTTCATACCCTCCACCCGTGAGTGCCCCATTGGTCCCAATAAAGCGGCTCTTCTGAACAGCAGTTGCTGATTGGCTGGCATTGTCTGCATCAGGAAGCCTTGCTCTCTTAGGCAGTCCTAAATTAGGTCCTCCTGCAGGAGATGCTTTTGTGGCTGTGCCTCTCCCCACACACACACAGTATATAGGCAGAGGTGGCTGGGTGGTGCCTCCTAAAATTCTTGCTTAGCTAACTCTCACAGTTACTATGACAAAATATATGAATCATAATAATAATGTTCCCCTTCATAGAATGGAAAAATAACGAACAGTTATGATTTATTATTGCACATAGAAAACAAATTTCAAGATTTAAAAAAAGAAATCGAGTCATCTCTATGACTTACTAAAATAGCACATCATTTCATATTTCTAAAGTCCAATGGCTAAATAAGAATTTGTTTCCATTGTTGATGCAGGATACTTGATTACTGTATGTAGAAAACCTAATTGTTGTCCTAAAGAGATGCAATTTTGGTGTCCTCTAAAAGCCTCCATAGATAAGAATGCTAAAGAATGTAAAGTTCCGATTTTAAGGCAATTTACTTGGGAGAGGTCTTGTGGTCTTTGGTCTATGACCTCAGGCAATGTCAGCTGGTGACCTCCAGCTTTAAAGGTGGCAGGGTTCTGCCCTTACTCACTGGGCTTGGAGCCTCTCCCCCCATGGTGATACAGTTCATCCTACCAAAAGTATAGCTAGAGATGTTTTTATAAGCAATTGAACCTTTGATAGTTCTCTCTCTCTCTCTCTCTCTCTCTCTCTCTCTCTCTCTCTCTCTCTCTCTCTCTTTCTCCCCCCCCCCCCCCCGCCCCGGCATGGCAAAAGCCTTTATGAAAGCTTAAATAGATATTTAAGAGATAGGGATTTTCTCTTTGGGCTTGCAAGAACAACAGTGCAGCTGGCAGGACACAGATAAAACAGTACTCTAGGAAAGAGAGCTAAGGAGCCCTCTTGCGTTTGGTGGGGTTCAAGAGAAAGGTAGACCAGCTAGGTAGAAAGACAAAGATAGAAAGAGATTTCTAAACAGCTAATAGTATGGATGCAGAGCCAGGCTTCTAAATAAATATTCTGTATATAGTTCAGAAAATAAAGTTACTTCACTGAGCTAGCAGGTTTTTACCTCAGTTTACACCTTCTGTGTCTTTACTGGTCTAAATACTGGATAATTTAAACAGTTCCACCATTTTATCAGCCTGTATCTGTGTCTCATTCTATTGCAAGCCCTTTGAAATCTATGTTTCTATTTGCTTTCTTATTGTCTGCTTTCTTATTATCAGTAGTATGAGCAGTTTTGTAAGTATGCAAGATTTATGTATGTAAAAAAAAATAGAATGCAAATCTCTACATCAAAAGTTCTTATCTATCCCCCTTCTGTAGTCCATGATTTTAAATGTACGAAGGTAAATTATAATATCCCTGACCATATAGACAATATATCCTTCAACGTCAAAATGTATCTTTCATACTAATTTATTGCTTTTTATATAAAACTACGTTTCAAGAAATGTGTCATTGTTCATTAAAGTTTTGAGTGTTATTTAAATAGATTTCAATTTTTAGACAGGTAATGATTTTTAAGATTATTTCTAGACTTTTATGTAAAATACTCTGCTGTTTTTAACTGTCAAAGCCAATTCTGTCTTCTAGAACAATCTATCATTTGATAGTTTATTAGACTAAATGATGAAGTGCATTCTTAAGTGCCAAATAAACAGTGTCATAAAATAGAGTGGTGGTGTCAACCCACAGCATAATCTTTTCCTAGCAGTTAAAGTTAATTAGAGAGAGGCTCATTCTTCTAAACACAAATACATTAGACATAAGAGGATTCAGGCAGTCACTAGATAGGTGTCAACACAAATCTATACAGTACTGATTGAGTTTTGACAATGAAGTAAATAATCCAAGGTCACCCAACACAACAAAGGGATTATTTTTTCAGACATTTATTGACCTAAGTTCTCAAAGCCAAGTTCAAAGAATATATATATATATATATATATATATATATATATATATATATATATATGGAGAGAGAGAGAGAGAGTGAGAGTATTCTTAAAGCACCTATCTTCATGAAAGAGCTCAATAATCTTGAAAATTTGATGAAATGATTTATAATTTTACTGACAAAATGATAGTTATAAATATTCTTAAATCTAACACACTTTTGTGTTTAATATTTTAATTTTTCATAATTTCATTTATGCATATAATATATTTTGACCCAACTTTCAATGTCTTAACATCAATTCCTCTTGTATTTCCCTAACACTTTTTCTGTATAACTTCATGTTCTTTGTTTTAAGATCCATTGAGTAATTTAGTGCTGCTGTGTGGGCATAGGTACATGACCATCAACTAAACCATATGTGGCCTCTCCCAGAACATATCCTCAGGGAAAACTGACTCTCATTCTACCAACAGCCTCAACTACCAACGTCTCCGCAGGAAGAATGTAGAGATGAACCCATACATGAATTTGTCGAGAAAAAAAAACAAATGGAAGTAACAGAGCAGTAGGTAAGGTCTAAATGATGTGTAAGGTTGTACCCTCCTGCTCCTCCTTGTTCCAAAGACAACTTTCTCTGTAGTGTTAATCTCCCATTTGAGGAAGAGTGTGGTCTAAGAGAATATACTTCGACTTATTGGTCTCCTCATCACTAGACTGCCTTCAACACTGGCGAAGTGGAGAGTGTTTTTATCAGTGACCTCTTCATTGACTTCAAATACATGGTTTACATGTTCTACTACAATTTCACCCACAGCAGGACCAGTGGTACAGACAACGCTGAGAATAGGAGATATCATAAATGGGAAGGTCATATTCGCTTTCCAAGAGTGATATTTTACCATCAACAAAAGGGGTACTACTGAGTATATTATGGATTCCACTGATATCTTCACTACCATGGAAAAGGTCAGGGTCCTCTTGAGAGGTGGAGCCAAGAGGATCATCCTCTATGTATCTTCTCCTGATGCCCCTATGTTTGTGATGAGTGTAAACTATTAATAAATGTCACAGTTTGATCAATATCATCAGCAAAGCTTCCTGCACCACCAACTATGCAGGCCCCACTGACCAACTCCCTGTGTGACAATTTCAGCATTCTATGACCTTCATAACCAAAGCCAATGTGAAGACCATAGACATTCCCTTTAGGAACATCGTTCCTCTTAGGCCACCCCTGAGTGAATGCAAAGTTCACTGGCATGACTTTTCACATTCCTGCCTCCAATGTGTTCTTTATGGGTCTGACATGCAGCCTGGAGAAACATGTAAAATACAATGATCTCCAAAGAGTTACATGAAGCAGCATCACTGGAGACCCTGAAAGATAGAATTCTGGATATACTGAGAGCCAGAAAACATGAGTAGGCATTTCTCAAAAGACATACAGCTGGGCAAAAGGTATATGACAAAAATACTAAACATCACTAATCATCAAGGAGATATATATCAAAATAAGAAAACCATATCTAGTGTCTCTACATAAGCCAGATGCTGGGGTGAAAAACCTGCTAGCTCAGAGAGGCAGAGAGACCATCCAGCTGACCTTTCTATACTGACACACTGGAAGGAAAAAGCCCCTCCTCTTTCTCCATGCTGTCTTAAGTATCCTTTAACTCAATCTCCCTCCTTCCTATTTCCAAGGTGTTCACTCCAGACCAACCAGTTGCTTTCTCTGTGCCTTGACTTATAGTTGACTTCATTTAATCCTGTTTAGAGAAAGCGCTTTGGATTAAATGTGTGAGCCATAACACAATAAGGCTTTTCCAGTTCACAATCTTGGATTTCACATGTGAACAGAGGGAGAAATGAGAAAGTATGAAACGGAAGTATAAGGTGAAGAAGAAAGTAGATTTGGTGTGATGTTTATTGAACAAGAGTAACATCATGTTCCTACTAGATACTACAGGAAAGTGGGCTTTTTGTTTCACCATGATGTTATCAAAATGATTAAGAAGGAAATGGGCATTGTTAATCCCGTGTAGAGATATGATGGTTTCACATAATATATTAATTTTATAAAATTGTGCCATTATGTTTTATATTAAATATAATATAATACATAATATATGATTTATATATTATATACATATTTGTATAATTATATACTATAATAAAATATAGTTGTATCACATTTTATTTAATTTGTTTGTATATATAAGTTAT